ATAGTTCACATTAGTCGTCTAGTTTGTATTTGTTCAATGAGATACACACGTTTTTTGTGATTGTTTACAGTGACTTGATTATTTCCGCTCGCTTTTCTCGAAGCTTTTCTGTGTCTTAATTGGAACATATTATTTAGGTGATGTAAATTCATCGTAACAGTACAAGTTTAGCTGTTATGTTTTATAATACCATTTGTTCACGAGAGTCGGCTTTCAGTGAGCAGACGTCGACCTACACATGTGATACATGATACAGGCTAGGCATGATATCTAGTGATATATAAACATACACGTTGAAGGGCGGTAGTCATCGCACCACGCATGCGCGAGATATATAGGTCTCATATAAACAAAGATAGCGACTTTGACTGTTGCGCAGATCAACCAGTACAAATTTAAACGTTACAAAACCTCATACTTGTGATTTTCATTAGAAAAGCGCATTGGAATGTGGGAAAATCAATGTTTATCAACACAAATGTCGCACATGCGCAGCGCGACCACTGCCTCGCTTCAAATAACATCGGGAAAAAAATTTGATTACAGTTGCATTATGCTCAAGTAATTAACTAACACATCTAAGATTAATATAAATTATAAAAACACTTTTACATGGTAACTCAAACATCGACACACACTGAATGCAATTCCCTTTAGTTACTTTACACTGCCATATCACATATAATATGTCATTTATTTCATCACTAATACGAAGTACATCACAATTAAGAACAATAAGCAGCTGAGCAACAGAAACAATCATAAGGAGGTGTTAAACAACAAGCGCGCTTCTTTGGGCTGATTCTGATCTTCAACACTATAAGAAGAACGAGTATAAACATAATTGTTATCATATGTTGATGTATATATACATAAGTTGTGAATCAATTAATGAATATCACAATGGTTTGTCACATCCTTGACGGTATTTAAATCTGAGTGAGACAATATTTTTTCTAGGGTTGTCGCTTGAATTGAGATCCAAAGAAGGTCCACTCTTCGCGTAATTACTGCAACAGAACCCACTGTTTTTCAGATTAATGTTAAAGTCTGACGTCAAACTAGGAAGGATGTTGCAAAGGTTGAATTCGTGAACTCCCGCCTCCCTCCCTGGCTATAAAAAAATAACTGGGTAAATACACAGGGCTGTTAAAATTATAGATACCGACCATTTCTACACACTATAAACCAGCCTTGAGCAGTTACTACACTAAGCTTGTAACTTGAATTTGTTATTTTTTTGGATAGTTTATGCAATATTTTAAAAATAAATATGTGACGTGTATAGAATGTCGTTTCTCCCTCTTGTCATGATTATTACCTAACTTGCTGTGGTGTGTTGAGTGCATAATTTTGTAAGCTAAACCTGCACTGAACAACACTGCCAGAGACGGGAACCATACTTACCAAGCATAAATCTTGTACCTAAACAAACTTTTATTTTACATAGACGAACAATGTATGTGTAAAATTGAAGCTGTATCCATTCTTGTTTCTAATTATATTGGTGCCCGAATTGTGTAATTTTAAATTTGTTCAGAACCTGCACACAAGGTAGTAACAATTTTGAACATTGGTGGGCGTTTTGAGTTGATATTTGACCTGATCCCGTGACTTTGTCACACCTACTTTAAATTAAATTTGTGTTCCACCAGGTAACTAATTTGAGCCGCTATAACAGACATATCCCAATCAATAGCAAGTGAATCATAGCTTCTCAGAACTCTGTCAAACGTGTTATAAAATTCCTGTCCCCCGCGTGGCTATGAAATAAACATAGTTAAAGGTCATATCAAATGTTTGCAAATATTTTGTAAAATTGTTTTGTTTTGTTTTTGTGAAAAATTTGACAAATTATATATTCTGGAGTTTAAAGACGTGAAACAATGTGTACATTTGGAAATCAGATTTTTTTGCATAATTCAACGATATAATTTAGTACGAGACGAGATAAACACTCAATTAACAACAACAAGCTATGTACTTTGGCCTTCTAAGTAAGCCAAAGGAATAAGAGGTTACTGAATATGAGTATACGCTCAGACTAAGCAGTCTTCTGATGACAATTTCAATCAATCACCAGAGAAATATTAAAGCGGGGGGGGGGGGGGTCGTC